CCTTGGCACGCTGAGCTGCGCCCCTTTGTCCTTAAATACCACGTCCCGGCTTTATTTACACAAGGAGGCCGCTACGGGCCGGGGTCTATTTTGGACCATTTAGTTCAACCCCTCACGTGACGGATGAGGAAATAGGTTCAAGGAAGCCGAGTGACTGGCTGGGAATCACAGAACCAGATAACCGCAGCACGTGGACTGTCTCCTCATCTCCTGATCCAACCTCACTCAGCTGCTCGATGAGCTTCACTTCTCGTTCGCTGTCAGCGGATTATCCGCGGCCTTGCACATGGAACCCTCCGCTCCATGCGCGCTCTGCTTCCTTTAGCGCGTCCTGTGGGGCCGGGAGGGGGCGGGGAGGGGGCGAATATTAGTAACGGGCTGTGTCCACTCGCTCCCTCCCTGCGCCGGGCGCGCACGAGGGCCTTTACTTAGGCTGCCTCGCTTGGTTTCAACTTTAAAAACGTATCTTTGAACTTTATTTTAAATGCTGTCAAGTACACGTAGCATCACAATGACCATGTTAACCATCGTGTTGGCGGACGGTGTTAGGTACGTTCACATTGTCGTGTAACCAACCATCCCCCTCTCTGTCTCGGGAGCTCTACATCCTGCAAAACGCAAGCGCTGCGCCCATTGAACACCACCTCCCCACCCTCCCCTCCTCGGCCCCTGCAACCACCCTTCCTCCTCTGATTTATGACCTTGACCCCTAAGGGACCCGACCTCATGGAAGGGGAATGGCTCAGCATTTGTCTTTCTGGGACCGGCTTTTCACGTAGCACCAAGCCCTCCAGTTTCACCCACGTGGTAGCTGTGTCAGCGGCTCCTTCCCTTCGAGGTGGGGTATATTCTGGTTGTGTATGCACCACATTTGGCTTATCCGTTCACCTGCCGGGGGTCGGGCTGCCTCACCTCTGCGGGAGCTTGTCATCCTCATCTCGGGAGAGTTAGGCTGACCGGCTGGCCTGGCCTCGGATCTGAGTCAGGCTCCTCCGCGCCCGAGGCTAGACCCCGTGGGGCTGGGAGTTCTGCCTGTCACCCCTCAGAGCCTTATCCGCCAGTGGAGATAATTGAGGAGCATTTAGTAACCTTTAAAAATTGACCAGGTTTTTAACCTTTAAGGGCTATTTACTTGCGGGGAGTAAGGTATTTATTCCAAGCGAGTTCTCATGGTATGAATAGATGGCAACATTCAAATAAAAGGTGGAATTTTGTCCCCAAGCACATAGTTCCTTAGCAAAATACAAGACGTAAAAAATCAACTCCGACTGTTAAAAGTCATCATGCCCTTTTAGCGGTGGAGGGAAATATTACCGGCCTGTGCGACTCTGCAGTGAAACAGAGCAGAACCAACTGAGCATTAAAAATCTCTGTTCCCAGTCCCAGCTCCAGGCCCGGGCATCGCGCTAAATGCGGATTCCACGACCTCATTTCATCAGCCCGCAGCCATGTGAGGTCAGCTCTCCTCCTGGCCCCTGGGAAGGGGAAGGGAGGTGAGGAGAGAGGCTGGGTAATCAGGGGGTGGGGTGGGGGTTTGAAATGTGCCCCCCCGCCCTGTAAGGCTATGTTGAGATCCTATTAGTGTTTAAAATGTGACCTTGCCCGGCGGGGGTGGCTCAGTGGTTGAGCGTCAACCTATGAATCAAGAGGTCAGGGCACATGCGTAGGTTGCAGGCTCCATCCCCAGTAGGATGTGTGCAGGAGGCAGCCGATCAATGATTCTCTCTCATCATTGATGTTTCTCTCTCTCTCTCTCTCCCTCTCTCTCTCTCTCTCTCTTCCTCTCTGAAGTCAGTAAAGATGTATATTTTTTAAAATGTGACCTTTGGGAACAGGGTCTTTGCAGAGTTCAATTTAACAGGTCCCTGGGGGGCCTTAATCCACTAGGACTGGTGTCCTTATCAACAGGCAACTTGGACACAGATTGAGACACAGAAAACAGGAGGCCGCATGAGGGGAGGGATGCTTCTAGAAGCCACCTAAAACCGAGGCTTGCCAGCAAATCACAGAACGGGGAAGAGGGTAGGAAAGGTTTCCCTGGAGCCACAGACAGAGCGTGGCTTCAGGCTTCTGGCTGCCAGAGCTGCCCGACGACCCAGCTCTTCCTGTTGGTGAAGCCCCTGGTTTTGGAAACATGGTTGTGGCAGCCCTGGGACACGAACACAGTCACTGTCCAAGGTCAAAAGGACGGCAGGTGATGGGGCTGGTGTTTGGACACAGGCTCTAACTAAGAGTTCAGTCCAAAGTTATCTGCTCTTATTACAATAACACTGTTAGCAGTGATCATGAACATTGTTATTATCTATACCAGTGATGGCGAACCTATGACACACGTGTCAGAGGTGACACACGAACTCATTTTTTTGGTTGATTTTTCTTTGTTAAATGGCATTTAAATACATAAAATAAATATCAAAAATATACATCTTTGTTTTACTATGGTTGCAAATATCAAAAAATTTCTATATGTGACACGGCACCAGAGTTAAGTTAGGGTTTTTCAAAATGCTAACACGCCAAGCTCAAAAGGTTCGCCATCACTGATCTATACTGATAAAAGGGTAATATGTTAATTAGACCGGACATCTTCTGGACGTCCTTCTGGACAAAGCCATGGTGGCAGGGGCCGAGGCAGAGGCAGTTAGGGGCAATCAGGCAGGCAAGTGAGTGGTTAGGAGCCAGTGGTCCTGCATTATGAGAGGGATGTCCGACTCCCGGGCCTAAACTGGCAGTCAGACATTCCCCAAGGGGTCCCGGATTGGAGAGGGTGCAGGCCCCGCTGAGAACCCCCTCTTCCCCACAACCGGCCTCTAGTTCATAATAAACTGTGGCACTATTGCTGGTCCCTTTACCCTCAACCACTGCCGGGACTACAAGTGGGGGTTACTTGTCACAGATGCAAAGACCCATTCCTCTCCACGGAACTGGATGTGAGATTCGCTATCTGTGTTTGAGCCGCTGGCCTGGTTCACTCACTGGACAGTCCCCCTTATGGGCAATGTGTCCTGAGTGGTGTGTCCGGGCTCCCGAGTCTGGGGAGACCTTTGGCGGAGGGGTCACTCATTCAGACCTCGCACAGAGCATGGTCCTGGACCCACAGCCGCGCCTCCTGAGCGAGGGGAGACCGCGCACCACTCAGTCCCGCGTGTGGACGGGATTTACCTGCAGACAATCGTTAGAGCCCCGAGCTCTGCGCTCATGGTTAGCATCCGAACGTGCGTCCACGGAAACATCACTCAGCTCCTCCCTTTCCCGGACCGGGAGCTAATTGGTTCCACGGAGACACACAGACCGCGCTCCCCGCACAGGCGTCAGAGGCGCGCTTGGCGGTGACCCGGCGCTCAGGACTCTCGCTTCCAAGTCAGTGAAGTGTGTGCGTGGAGGGCTGGGGTGAGTGGAGAGTCACTCTGGGTTCTTTGTCGAGATCACAGTGGATTAGGATATTTTTTAAGGGGAAGCAAGTTTAGCAGAACCAGCCCAAATGGGTCATCCACTCCCTGCTCGTCCCTCCGCTGGAGTCTCACGTGGTTCGCAGCGGAAGAGTGGAAAGCAGAGCGACCTGCTGTTCTAGGTTCACAAAGGAGCCCCGCCCCCGTCTTTGGGGGAGTGCTGACTGGGCCGTGAGGGCGGAGCGGGCAGAACCTGCGGAGATGCGGTTTCTAATTTAGGTTCTGCTAAATTAGGTTCGCTGGCTGGCGTTGACTCTCTGGGGAGTCCCGTGGTCCCGTGACCTTGGCCGAGTTACTTGTGAAAAAGGAGATGCACAGCTCAGAGCTGCAGCCCGAGGTTCCTGGGAGGGCGGCCGTGGTGTGTTTGTCCGCGTGGTGGTCCTCGAAAGCCGGGGCACCCCGCGGAGCCCCTCTCCTGGCTGAGTGTCTGCATGACGTCAGCATGCAGTTCCTAGAATGGGCAGGCGAAGAGAATCGTGGCTGATAGCCGCCAACGGTGTATATTTCCTTTCCCACTTGCCTCGTGTCATAGCTTTGGAGTCAAAATAATTCCACAGCCCTAGCTGGTTTGGCTCAGTGGATAGAGTGTCGGCCTGCAGACTGAAGGGTCGAGGGCACGTGCCTGGGTTGCGGGCTCGATCCCCAGTGTGGGGTGTGCAAGAGGCAGCTGATCCATGATTCTCTCTCATCATTGATGTTTCTCTCTCTCTCCCTCTCCCTTCGTCTCTGAAATCAATAAAAATATATTTTAAAAAATAATAATCCCCCAAATCTGTATTACACTCCAGGTACACCACAGGACTCCGACTGTGTCCAGGTGGGCGAGTCAGGGCCAAGCAGGGACTAGCGCCAGCCCCACCCACCCACCTGGGCCCTGCCTCCTGCAGCTGCCCCAGCCGCCTTGCCCAGGCCCGGGCTGTAGCTCAGAACCATTTCTCGCAATCCAGCTGCCCGCGTTGCAGAGTCTGCTGCTTCGTCCCTAGCGTGTGGCCTTCGCTGACAGTCTGTCTTGTCACCTTGAAGCCCCACCTCCAGCGTCCGCCCTTTGCTTGAGAAATTAGATCCCAAAGGGCAGATCTCGGAGTAGCCGGGACACTCGCTCTAGATGGCGAATCCGTAACATAATCCAGGGCTCCCGCAAGGCCGCCTCCTGGGTCTCGGTGCTGGAGCAGCTCAGGGAGGGAGAGCGAAGGACCGATTTGCCCGATTTGCTGGGAGCAGCCAGAGCGGCCGCTTCCTGGATCCCACCCTCTTTCCAGATTCTTCTTCCAGCCTCAGCACCCTTTCTTCCTCCCCCAACTGCCAGAGACTGTCCCCTCGCAGCCGTTAGCTGGCCCTGCAAGCCGTTCCAAACCAGTGAGCTGAAACAGTACGCAGTGATGATGTCTGGCGAGTCCGGGGCTGTATTCTGGGTGGGGCTGGCACAGCCGCATGCACCTGTCGGGAGGTGAGTCTCAGGGACAGCGTGTCCCAAGTGCTCCCTCCTCCCCCTCCCGGAGGCTGGCCTCGGCTGCTTCCTCATGATCAAGGAGGGCGAGCCCCAGTGCACAGGCGCTTCCGAGACGGCGCCTGCATCACACGGACATGCCATCGGCCAAGCCCCGAATCAAAACCGGGCCCGGGAAGCTGTGGTTGTTGCAGGCTCATCACTACGGATCCATTCAGTGAGGCCCAAGCTCCTTCCCGTGGTTTTCATTCTTCCTGAACGCATCTGCCATCCCCCCGCCAGGCCACACTGAGTGCCACGGGCAGGGCGCTCCGGCCAAACTCACCGGGCTGTTCCCAGTGGCTGCCACGCTGACTGGTCCCCAAGCCTGGACCACATTCACCACAGAATAAAAACGTAAGGCCTGCCACGTGCTGGCGGGCTGCGGGGCCGGAGGGAGGGAGGCCAGGACCCTGTAGAAACAGGGCTCCGGTTTTACAAGAGGAAAGTTCCGGACGTGGTGGGGGTGACGGAGCCGGGCAGTGTGAACGCACCTCATGCCACTGAGCTGGGCACTGGGACATGTCAGGATGGTTGGTTTGTGTGTTTTTACCACAATTAAAAACAAATGTGTATGGATATTTAGGGAGAAAGCAGAAGGGAGACAGAGACACGTGGGTCTGTTGTTCCACTTGTGGATGCTTTCCTGGTTGCTTCTTGTATGCGCCCTGACCGGGGCTGGAACCCACGGCTCCCGCAGGTTCCTGCCACGCGTCTTCCTCTTGTCTTGCCTCCTGACCTGCCCGCCCCGGACGCGGGGCACAGCTCACTGTCAGAGCAGCACATGGAGGGTCGCGGGGCTGAGGCCCAGGAGCCGGAGGAACTGTTCTCGTCCCTCTCCACCCCTCTCCACACTCCCCCGACATCTGTTCCTTGTCTGGCGCCGGGGGCTCGGTTACAGACGGAGACGTTTCTCAGAGGAAAGGCATGTGGCTGAGACACACCTGCCGCCCGGTGTCTGTCAGCGTCACTGCCTCCGGGCCCGAGAGCCTCGCCAGAGAGGGAGCAGCTGTTCTCACGGGCAGCGAGCTGCCTGGAGCACAGACACCTCCTCCTGACCCAGCTGAGATGACAGGGCGGCAGCGATCCGTGGGCGCCCCGGCCTTCTGGGCGTTCCGTGGCCCCAGGGCAGAGCTTGGAATTGGAAACCAGAAGACTCCCGTGAAATCCAGGCCTAACCTCTCTGTTCGTGAATTGCCTAATTTTAGGCAAGTGCTCCCTCTCTGAGCTTCTACCGTTTTTATCTATAAAACAAGTAAAACAGTGACACAGTGGTGTGTGGCGGTCGGACCTGCTGACAGTCATTGGCCTGGAGACGAGAGCGTCGCCCGCTCCCTCCTCCACGACTGGATGTAGCCGGGCAAACTAGGGAGAGCCTGCACCCACATGGTGTCACAGTGGCCTTCGGACGGTCCCTCTGCTTCCTCGACAGCAGAGCTGGACATCCCAGTAGGTGCTGTGCTGTGTGAGTTGTTCAGGCAAGAGAGACGGTGTGAACTCTGAGCATCGGGCCGGTTTAAAGCCCCCGCAGCCACCGCCCTGGCCTCCACCGAAAGCCTGGGACTGAGTCCGATGGATACCCAGGCCTGATGCGCCCCGAGAGCCTGCGCTGGGTCCTTTTAAGCCGATTGGTTCGGGCTCGGAGGGTGACTCAGATTTCTCGCCAGGTTGGCCAGGGGCTGGGCCCATCACTGGGGCAGGAAACCCCGCAGGAGGAATGTTGAAGGTGAGGGGGAACGGGCTGACTCAGAGACTCTCTCGGGGAGGGTCTCGCAGAGCAGGTCTTCCTCTGTACTGGGCTCCGGAGCCCTCCAGAACCTTCCAATCAGAACCAGTGAGGAGACTCGAATTCTGCGGGCCTGGGGGTGGGAGGCTGGGACCGGCATTTCGAAGGAGGTCGCTCATGGGGTCGGAGGACCACACTGAGAGCAGCCAGGGTCGAGTGCGAGGAACCTCCAATGGTTTCCTTCCGAACCAGCTCAAGGATTTTGAAAATCGGCCTTCTCGCACATTCGTGAGTGTGTTACCTAATATTTTCTTTGTTTAAACAAAGGATCTGACTTCCAGTCTGTTGCCACTGTTCATATTGTAAAATAAAATGTTACGTCTCTCTTTGAAGTGTACCTCCAGGTGTGCAAACCAGTGATTCGGTCATCGCCATCTATTTAACAAGACACTCCAGCGAGTCTGTCCGGCGGTCAAACACTACACCCCGTTCCTTCTTCTCACTGAACCCGAATTCCCCGTCAGCTTCCCCATAGAGCCGTGTCCCGAAGTGCTGCATGTTCCTGTTGAAGGCTTCCGTGGTCTCTCTTCCTACTTAGCTACCCCCCAATAGGCACATCAAACCTTTTTTTAATGTAAAATTTCTCACGACCGTAAAGTCTGAATGTTAAAACGTTTCTTCTGGATTCATTGATTTGTTACAATTAGTTGGCAACTGATCGAAATAGCACACAATATAAATTTCTGTAAACACTGCATAGAATGGTGCTGGAAGTGCACCTTTTCATGAGATGATTGGTGCTGTGGTTTTAAATTAGCTCCTACATCAAGGATCAACATTACTTGTTGTTAGAACGAGACTTGATGAGACCTCAACTCTTTGTCACGTCTCTGCTTTATTTTTTTAAATAGCCAGGTTACTCAATGCCATGAGCACCTGAAAGATACATGCCAAAAGCACATTCTATTCTAGCATCAGACTTATTTCTAGTGGTGTATTAGTGGATATGTTTATTAAATCCTCCTTCAAAGTTATGGGAAGCAAAGGACAGGAAACCAACTAATTATCTCATGAGAGTAAAATCAGAGCAGGTGAGCCCAGCCGGCGTGGCTCAGGGGTTGAGCATTGACCTATGAACCAGCAGGTCTTGGTTTGATTCCTGGTCAGGGCACATGCCCAGGTCTTGGGCTCCATCCCCAGTAGGGGGCGTGCAGGAGGCAGCCGATGGATGATTCTCTCTCATCATTGATGTTTCTGTCTCTCTCTCCCTCTCCCTTCCTCTCTGAAATCAATACAAATATTTTAAAAAAATCAGGGCAGGTGAGAGCTGTGCTTTCGTAAAGATGAGGGTGGGGATGATGGAAAGGAATTGGCATAATGCTGACTAGAAGCACTTTCTTAGGCAGATACGTTTCAGGGGAAAGTATACCTGGTGACGGAGGGTTGGGAAATGTGTCCCCTGATCCTGCTGGAACCCACAGAGCCTTTGGAAAGTGTGCACACAGACGGGCACCGGGATCCCAGCACACAAGCGGGCACCGGGATCCCAGCGCGCAGACGGCCGTGGTGGAGCAGGAGAGAGGCTGGCTGGAGGCCGAGTTAGGGGACGGAACCCAGAGGTTCGTCACATGAAACCCTGCATTGCACAGACCCCAAGGATTGGCTGGAGGCCGAGTTAGGGGACGGAACCCAGAGGTTTGTCACATGAAACCCTGTATTGCGCAGACCCCAAGGATTCGGGATTTTAGGAGTGGAGTCTGCATCAAAGGAGACTGTGTCCTAAAGACGGAAAGAAGAAGAGGGGTGAGCAAACCCAGGGCCGAGTAGGCACGAGGGAGGCTGAACCAAACCAAGTATCTTCAAATCCTCGAGGGCATCCTCCGTCCATGCGCACAGGAGCGATGGCTTCGTGATGACACCCCCTTATCCGTGTGTTAGCGTCGGTCCCCTGCTCAGCCTCATTCTGGTGGTTTTGTGTGCAGAATGCCAAAAACCCACGATAGGAAGGGAGGGAGGGAGGGAGGGAGGGTTTAATTTGCTCTGCCTGCCTCCCCTCCTCCTGCTACATCTGAAGTGACCGAGTCTAACGACTTCAGAAGCTTCGTTTCAATACCAAGGTGTTTTGATTCTACGAATCAGTCACATGTTTAAGGCACCGGAAGTGAACTGAGCCACACGTGTCTTGTTTGCCTTTCTTTGGAACGGATGCTTGCAAAGGCCTAGTCAGATGTGCCAAGTTCACTCTCACAGGGAGATGGAGAGCGAGGGCAGGAGCTCATGCCACCGATTTGGTGCTGGATCTCTCTCTCCTGCAACTTCATTGAATGACTGGGAAGCAAGTGCTAGAACCCATGGCTGGGGGCGGCCGCCTCAGCAGAACAAGCAGGCAGACAGGCCGGAAGCGAAATCGCCGGCCCCGGCCCCTGTGCGCCCGTCTGGTGCCGCCTCTCTGGGTGGGAGTCTCTTGCCTGCCCTGTTGGTATCTATGATCAAATACCTCGTGACATTTCCGCTTAAGCAGCAAGACACTGCTGAGAGCGACCGTGGTTCAGTATTTCCCATAGAACTAATAATAATCTGCTGCCGAAGGAACTGGGGCGAGCGGCTGAGGGCTCGTGGGAAGCGTGGGGGACGCTGGGTTTTCCCCGAAGAGAATGGCAGGGCCGGGAGAGACCCCTCTCTGTTCCCGTCAGTGCAGCCGGGTGTTTGTTGTTTTCCACGCACAACGTGAGAAGCCTGACGGAGGCCTGAGGACAGGCCCCAGGGGCTTGTCTCCACGTCGCTGTGTCTCCTCCCCCGCTCTGTCCCGCGTCTCCACGCCTGACCTGGTCTCCACTCGTACGCTCACCGGTGAAATAGGTTGGAGAAGGTGCTGACACTCCAACCCCGCAAGTCAGCGGGGAGAGGGACGCCGAGCCAACCCACCACCTCGCTGCGGGTCTTGCCTGCAGGAGGGCAAAGCCGTGTCCCCGACACGCCTTCCGTCTTCCTTCGGCTGCCGGGTCTGCGCGGCGTTCCACGGGCTTCCTCCTTAAATGGGACGCAGTGTTGCATGTTTGTGAATGTGTCTCGGTAGCTTTTTACAAAAAAAAATTGTTTTATTGATTTTTAGAGAGGAGGGAGAGAGAGAGAGAGAGAGAGAGACATCAATGATGAGAGGGAATCGCGGATCGGCTGCCTCCTGCATGCCCCACACTGGGGATCAAGCCTGCATCCTGGGCCTGGGCCCTGACTGGGAATCCAATGGTGACCTGGTTCACACGTCAGTGCTCAACCCCTGAGCCCCGCGGCCAGGCTTCTGGTGTGTGATCTCCAGTGTGGTTCTTATTGTCCCCGATCAGGCCTTTCCCGTGTTCCCCCTGTTCCCCCTCTCAGACTCCCCCTCCCCCTTCCTCCCTCCCCACTGTCCTTCTCCCCCCTCTTTCCCCCACAGCTTCTCCCCGCTCCTCCTTATCCCGGTCTCCCCTGTCTTGGATGCAAGGACAGCCCTGTGCTGGGAGGGGCCGGAGGGTGCTGAGTGAGATGAACATGAGGCCAGCACGTTTGCTCACACTCGGCCTCTCTCTGCAGCTGCTGCGTGCAGAGCGGGCTCCCTGCCATCCCAGGGAGCGGGACCAGCCAGATGCCTCCCGTGGGGCTGAGTGGACCGGCCACTGACACCGTCTATGGCGTTTCCAGACGCAGCCCGCAGCTGTGGGGCGGGCCATCCGTCTCCGTACGGGGAAGAGGCCCCTGAAACCCGCCCGATCACCCTCGGAGCCTCCGACCGCTGCTTCTCCCCCCAGTGGCATTATTGTGCCTTTAAGATAGAATCTGGGGACATTCACAGGGCCCGCGTGCCAGCGTCTGGGTATAGAATATCCTCAGATCCTTCCGAGGAGGGATCAGCAGGAAAATTGGAGCCAGAGGGCTGCCTCGTATGATAGCAAAGGAGCTATTTTCTTCCCTGGAGACGGGAGCCAGCCCCGCAGACATCACTCCCAGGTCTCAGCCCCGTTACTAAGGACAGCGACGCTCGGTCTCAGGTTAAAACATCAGGTTTATTTTCTTAACATTAAAGACAAAACGGGCGCCACTCATGCAGCTACTTCAATGGGACCGATCAACCAAACGATGATGATAATAATAATGTCATCTATTACTATTTATCCACACACATTGTGGGCCGGACCACACATGGAATCTCTCCATCATCTATCTCATTTAACACCCAACACAGCCTTGCAAGGAGATATTCTTGGCTGACTTTTAAAGAGAAGGACCGCAAAGCTGAGAGAGTGTGGCCACCGGTTTTTCTTCTTAATACTCTACACCTTACGTCTACATGCGGAAGAGCAGACCTCCTCGTCCGCCGTGGGTAGGGATGTAAATGTTGGGGTAGCCGGTTCTGAAACACGAATTAAAATTAAATACAAGCACAACGGCCTTTGGAAAGGAATCTATTCCTATACTTGTGTGTGTGGGTGTACGTATATACACAAATACAGTTACATTTATATCGATTTTTTATTTGGACAAAACTTATGGAGGGATCCACATGATTCTCCCTAAGGCAGGGGTAGGGAACGTCGGGGTAGGGAGTCATGTGGCCTGGCCCTGCCAAGGCCTGAGGGGGGAGTTGAGTAAATGTGTGACCACGTGGAGCAGGCTAGTTTTAAGTGAATGATGTGTGTGGCCTGAGAATGATGTTATAAATACCCACACGGCCCTTGGCAGGGAAAGGTTCCCCACCCTGACCTAAGGGACGGTGCTGGAGGGCGTAGCGAGAAAGAGGGATTTTATTTATAACTCCATGCTCATCTGAATTTTTGATTTATTACTTTTTTGCTAAGATCATATATGACCTTTATATTATTAAAAACACACACACAACAACTAGTTTAAAAACGAAGTGAAAATGAACATGGTCTTTGAGCCAGCGATTGTATTTTTAGAAACTTCCCCTGAGGAAATAATTGGGCAACTGAACAAAAATATGTAAAGAAAGGTATTCATTGCAGTGCATTAGAAACCTCTAAATATCTATGCGTGGATGTTCAGTTACACCTGGTTCATTCATACAGCAGAATGCCAGGAAGTGATTCTTAGGAGAAATGAATAGATACCTGCATGTGGACCCCCCCCCCGTGCCACCCCCCCACCTGCCACCCCCCGGAACCAAGACCTTTGACTGAACCAGGGAGGGGGGGGGCACAGCCGTTCGGTTTCAGAAACTCCCTGTTTAAATAGTTAGACAGAGGGAGTGGTGAACGATGGGGAGAGGAAAAAATCGACCACACCATGCTCGCCGCAAAGGAACCGACCAAGGGGAATAAGAAAAAATTGTTTT